TTTGTTTAATTACTAACCTATTAAGGAAAAAGATAAGCTGATAAAAATGTTTTAAGAGCAATTACTGCAGGACTACTGTGTGGTGGTGAAGGTTGACAAATAGGTTGACCACGTCGGCAGGGGGGCGACGTGTGGGGGCACGCGTGGGGGTGGACACATTGGCTACGCTCAACACTTCATCTTGGCACCTGCTTATTTCCACGCACATCACACACTCTTTCCTAACAGCAGTCATACTAGTGACGATTACTCTGAGTGGACAACACCTCTCAGAGCACATAGGAAGTGCTAAGAGTTCACTTTAAGGTAGTGTTTACGACAACTTGGCTCCTGCAGTGTTGCATTACATGAGGGGCTAAAATATCTTACTATGACACGCCATGTATATTTAGGGATGATACTCAAGAGCTGTCCCACGGCCCCGCGTCTCCTGTCTTGGCTGCTCGGTACTAACCACTAAAATTCTAATAACATGAACCTCGTCAACCTTGCAGGTTTCTTGCAACCAAATAACGTTTATATTGTAATAGTGAAGATAACAAGTTTTTTATGTATGTTGTTAGTGTGTACTATCCAACAAAGTTTAATGATCTAATCATATGTTTGCATTAATACAGTATCTTCTTTCTTTTTCGTGTGTGTGAGATGTTAATGCAATTATATGTATAACATTGTTGTATAGTGTTTAGACAAAACATATTATCAACAATTATATAAAACTGGAAACTTTCATTATTACATTGTTACTTCACCCCCACCTACACTTTTTTTAATCAAGTCTCTCTGAGATATACTATACTGTATTTTGACTTGTGTGTCATACACTTACATACGTTTAGCAAAATAGCTAATTAATATATATATATATATATATATATATATATATATATATATATATATATATATATATATATATATATATATATATATATATATTTGTTTTAGAGAGTGTATATATTAGTGTGTGATGTAACTTGTTTTTGAGTGCGTGTATATATTAATGTGTAATGTAACAATGTAACAATACATAAATCATAAAGATAAGCATCATTAATTACCCACTTACTCATACTAAACCTATTAAGTTACAAACACACCACAGCCTAGTAGACTGTCGTCGAGGTTAACGCTCTACTTTTATATCTTACTTTCTTTACATAAAAAAAAGGTCTATTAGTAAACTTAGTAGTTTTTTATACCCTGTTTTAGGTTCTTCTCCTGTTAATAACTCGGGGATACTCTACCTATAGTTTCACAAATTTTAACTATGAATTGGATTCTGAATCTAATTACTTTTGCCCCTTAAATGGTGCTAAGTGAACTTATCTTGTCAATGGAGAATTTTAAAGTAATTATTGATGCCGCTTTCGATGTTATCTTGGTGTTTTAGCTTGAGCCAACCTTTAGGTTAGTTCTTGCACCTAGCTAGTGGGGAAAGTGAACGCACAAACCTTTGAAAATTCAGGTACTGGCTTGGGTCTGGACTGAGATCGTTTTTTTTTTAATTCGTAAAAATAGTAACTGAGAGCTCGTAAGGTCACTCGTATTAGTCAGACGGCAATAAATTACCTACGATAAAACGAATTCACAATAATCCGAACGAAGATATTGAACATCACCATTTGTACTGTTTCAGAATATAAAGACTGATAATTTATCTTCGAGTCCCAGAAGATTTGTATCATGTATCACTAAAAAACAACCTACAGTTGACATAAGCTAACATTGTATGCGTCCGAATCTGTGATGATTCTATAATCAATATAATGTCCAGCAAAGTTCAGAGAGCACAGGTAGTGGGATGCGGAGAGCTTAGTAGAAAACGGGAATAGTTGGGCAAATCTACTTTAGATACGACAGTTACCTAAAGGAAAACATGTTATGACTTAGCAACCAATTCGCTTGTCCCCTTTGTCAGCTGGAGATGTTATGCATTGTATTAAGACGATTTTTAATTTAAGACCAGGGATATTTATTTAGTTGCCTAGTCCTCCCCCCTCCCTTACAAAAGACGATAAACAAAAGTGGAGGGATAAGGAAATTATAAAATATGAAGACAATTTTACCAAGTTCAACTCTTTATAGTATTATAAAGGTGGATATTAATTTGTGGTTATGGTGCTGAACACCAAATAAAAGGGTTAAGGCCTTGATGATGTTCTGGGATACATGACTATTAGTTACCATGGCTAGAATTAAAAAATAACTTCTAAATTACCATAATACTTAATAAATAAATACACTAAAATTTGAAAAAATATATATATTTTGGGATCAGTTTCTTATAAAGATGCTAAAAAGCAGTCACTGCATCAAACATACTAGAATACGTTATGTGTATGCTATTTTAAATGTTTATATCAAATTCCTTTTGAATGATTGTAGATGCCTATAAATTGAGCTATAAAAAGCACAAGGATGCACTAATTGCAGGATTTTATTCGTCAATTTTAATACTTTCTTGAGGACGCTCTCCCCCACAACTGGTCCACCGTCACTTACTGCACCAGCAAGTAGTGTGTATCAACAAGGATTCTGATACTGTACAGTATTAGAATCCTTGGTATCAGTAATGATCATGGTATCAGTAAACAACGGCTTTAATTCTCCGATTAAATAAAACGTGTTTTGGAGAAATAATCATAAAATGGTTCTCAAAAATGTGAGAGATTAGAACATGTTTATAGTTTCTAATATAAACTATAGTTTTAAGGTCATTTTTACAAAATTCTGCCGCCCGACCAAAAACTCGCCTCTTCACAATAATCTGCATTAGCCTTGTCTTCCTAAAAACCAAGTGGTTATGTTTCCCATTCGAAGATAAGGACAAACAGTTCAAAGATGCCTGCCCCACAAGGGGTCACAGCACAAGGTTGAAGAAGCCTCTAGTCCAGAAAACTGTGAAGGCGAACTTTTTCAAGAGTGAGAACTGTTAACTCTTAGAAGAACCTGCCAGAGAGCATTGTGACGGCACCGAGTGTGAGCTGTTTCAAGACCAGACTTGACCAGCACTGGAACAGGTTCAGATACATTCTGGAGCATGTGCATGTCTAGTACTTGCCAATAATGCTCTACAGAGACGTGACCGATCGCCCAAGCCGCTCGATCATTGGCGAAGAGCATTAAAGTAAAAAGAAAATGTATATTCTGCAAAATACCGCTTGCACTTTCCATACTTCCCTGTTGGGCGCTGTAAACGCTTCTGCGCTTCACCTTGCACAGGATGTAAGGGGGTGCCCAAGAAACTAGCCCCCTCGGGGGCAAATCTGAATACCGCTTGCTTCGAGTGCATCTTTCCGCAACATTTAAATTTCCAGCTGATGTACAAATGATTTACTAATTTACTGCATAGGTGAACAATAATTCCATGAATATTATAACGTTCAAATTTACTATTTACTAAAAAAAGTCGAGAACACTTCTTCACTGATTATGTCGAAAGTAACGAGGACTAGCAAGTGCAGAATTCTTAAATGTTGGGAACCACTTAATAATTTTTATGTAACGGGGACCCTCAATTCGCAACCCCCCCCCCCCCAAGTTCTTTTACCAAACCAAGGTACAGTATACGTACTGTACGCTCGTTCAACAACTTCTCGTATTTCTACTTTTCATGAAATCCTGGATACGGCCCTATCATATTTCTTATCTTAAATATTCCCCATTGATTTCCTTAATTTCTCGTTATATAACAGCTCAACCACAACGAAGAATCTCTACATTAGGAAGCAATACAATTTGACAGTGAAGCAATAACAGATGGGACAAAGATGATGAACTCAGACAAAGGGTAGGGAACGGATGGATTGCGAATCGGTGTCCAACCTTTGTTGGCTACGGCATTTCCTGCTCACCACAAAGAACCACGAGGCTGGGTTCTCAGTGTCCGTTTGGTGACTTTTGTTTGTAACTAAAGATATAAGACAGCACCTAACTGGTTCACCTAGGCTAAAGCGCAAATATATCACCCAAATGTATTTTCAAAATTATATTGAAATGTCCTTATCTTCATGTTTCCTGTTGCTTTCATATAAGCATTTTTATTGTCGTGCGGCAAAAAAACGCTCGTGTCAAAGAGGCCTTAGCCGCCTTAGGGCAGTGCTAAGAATACGGTGGTCGATCAGTTTGTCTATTTGTGAGTTATTTTGCATAATTACCAATATGCATGCCGGTCATTTTGCAAAATAACCGATTCCGCAAAAAAAAAAAACGTAACAGTCTAACAGATATATCACACACCATGTTCTAAGGGTCTTTGGTTCGATATCAGGGCTTTCTTAATCCGCCCAGTTATATTCGTACCATTGTACCATAATTTTACAGCCACGGAAGTGAAGATGCAGTGCCAGCCATATTTTTGTATCTTCCTGTTAAAATAATCGCATGAAGTTGAGATTTAAAAATTAAATGTAACCATTTCATAACAACGATACTGTTTCCCATTTTCGTCTAAAAACAAAGTATATTTATTTCATTAAAGAATATATCTATATTTTTTTATCTGATACATATACACGTAACGTATGGATCTAGGGATTTTAAAATATATATTACAACTTGCATGGTAACTTTACTCGTACGTTTGGCACTCGTGTCTAAGACAAGGTAAACAAAGTCAGCTGATGATTACTCACCAACAAGCTTGGCGCGGCACACGTCTCCTACTATCATCCTCAAGTAATGTAGAAATATTATGCTGTCATTAGAGCTGTACATTCTAAATTATATCTAAGAGTTTTCTGTATAATTTGTAGTCAAAGATATTACAGGAGGTGAATATCATAATTCCTTAAATATCGTAATGGGATCTTCGCTGATGTGTTGAAAAATAATATGCAAATCATGCGTAGGAGCAAGGAAGATATAGGATGCCTGAGAACATACAAGAATGCTTGGCAATGAATCAGTTTAGTACTATCAATACTGGGCTAACATTGACGACTAACCCGCCGACGCGTTCTATGTTTTGATGTTTATATTCTTACTGTATTTTCATCAGTGAGTGATATGATGATAATTTGAGGGGAAATTACTTCCTTTGGTAGATAATAAGGCAACTAGGCGTGCACTTTGTCTGGCGGTGATGCAGCAGTACACAACCAATCTTATCTGATTGACGCCAGTCATTAGTGTATGTTTACGAGACACACGGACTGGAAGGCTGGTCTCATGATGTCCATAAAAAAACATAAAATTACACCACACCATAGTAAGTTCTTTCTGTTTAATATGCCAGGGGGGAGTCTGGAGGGTGGAATCTCACAGCTAGGAAGTTAGGTAAAGTTAGGTAGATTTCCTTAATTAGGTTGGTGAGGTCTTCTAACAACTCTTCTGCCACTTGTTTTTCTTATCAACTAAGGTTAGGTTTAATTAAGAAATACAGTAACCATTTTTAACACATTTCCCAAAACTACGACAGTGTCCACTATAAAACAATGAAATTGCAGCATTTTTAAATTTGTTTTCTATGAAAAATCAGTGGCAGGTCAGTCATCAATAATTACCCAATACTGTAAGCTATTAACACTAATTTCAAGGAATTTTTCATATATAATTATGGTACAGTATTAATATTTCTTGCAGAATCAAGTACTGTACTGCACTGTAATGTGCAGACAAAGAAAAAAGTCACATTACACTTACTGTGCCTTATATATTCTGAAACCCATGATGAAGAATTTGGGTAAATTCCCCTGTTTAAACTCAAACCTAGAAGCTTCGCTGTCACTTTACCCATTTTCTTTGTCATGGGTTTTGGAACATAATGCTAGTGGGGAGTAACATGACTATTTTCTTAGACTGCACAATGTATTAAAAAAAGGAATACAATTTTAATTTAAGAATTTTATGTTTAATGACAAACAGTAGAGTTGAGTTTCTACAAGCAGAAGCTTTAAGTGGCTGATGTGCTTTCAGTTAATAGAGCTGTAATAGCAAATGAGGGATGTTGGTGGTACAGTAATAAATTGTGTACAGTTTCTTACGTCAATATGTCCTGGTTTTGAGTCTGGCCCGGGAAAACATCACAGGTTTCCTCCGGGTACTCTGGTTTCCACCTGTACTAACACTGGACAAATAAGTTTATTATAAAATAAATAGCAGACCAACCACCTGGATGGCTAGTAAGCTGATAAGTGGTGAAATTCTGGCATGAATTCATGTTCCTTTTTTTCCTCTCACCTACCTTTGTATATACTGTATTTTACATGCTTTTCTTTTCTTCCAGGTTTGACCCCTTTATTTTTTGGAGCACAAAACTTTGAAAGTCTTCATGAATGCCATAGTCTCCATCTGTCACTTTTGTGAGCTACATGGCCCGAGTGTCATCTTCTGCACACAGGCATTTAGAGATCTTCTTGACCTGGATGCTCTGACAAATGTAGGAGCTTTGGAACTTTTAAATTCTAGAGACTCACAAGAGGAAGAACAACTGAAGGTAATTGGAAATTACTTTATTATTTCCTCTGTGCCTTTTTGATGTACCCTAATGGGGAGTTGTACCTACAGGACCCACTTTCATCTTTTTCACTGCTTACATAATACACAAACAGCATCTAAGTACATACCGAAATGTAATCTTTAGATTGTGATTTGTGCAGAACACAAATAAACACCAGGTTAAATGCAAGGCATACGCTTATAATAATGAATTCATTGGCTGGTGCAGGATTTATATTTGTACTGATTCATACCATTTTTATATTTTCCACCTTATGTTGGTAGGTTCAGGTGGACCAAGTGGGGTTGATATGAACTGCCTAAGTACAATGTCTTCAAAAATTATTGATCTATGTAACTTTTTTACATGACTTTTAACAAAAACATACCAGTAAGTTAGGGATAAATAAAATACAGTACAATTAAAATTATAAATTTCCCTTTAATTTTAATGTCAGTTGAAGTTAATTTGGCATGGATTCATCAATTGTTTGGAAATAATCATGACCATATTCATTGTTCAGGTCTGCTTGATCTCCTACTGGTAAGGTATTGAGGATGTGGTCTGTGTTGGCATCTTGTGTTTCATGTAATTCCGTGCATTCTCTCTCAGGTTGAGCTTTTGTGAGTTCTCGGGCCACTCCAGCTCTTGAATATTCTTGCATATGCTTCATGAGGAGTGGTAATTAGACAGCATGAAGAGATGGCATTTCAGCTCCTTTTTGGAGTTGGTATTGAATTATTTATTCTGAAGGGTCTTAAAGGAATTTGTAGTGGGTTTTCTTCATTTCTGCTGCAGATATTGTCTGATTGTCACTTTTCATCTCATAAGCATTTCAGTGGCCTTGAAGGTCTTTCTGGGTCACCGAGGGGATGATTTCTGATAATGAATTGAATTAGCAAGACCACACTCTTCATCTTTATTGTTACTGTGCCTCATTCTGGAATCCCTTCAGGGGAGCTTTTCTACCCAACTGGGCAAGGATGTGAGCCTTTTCCTTACCTGGACCCATGGTGACTGTTTTAAAAGGAAAATTGGGTTCATATCATGGTGTGTGTGTTGTTGGTTTTTTTTCATCAGAATGTGGCTGAAACTGGTCCAACCACCCCAGGACACAGCTAAACCCACTAACTGTATAGCAATTTCATGCATTGCAGATGAAAAATTTCACACCGAATTCAATTTGGTGGGCCGTAACCAGGCCTCTGATTACATAATTAGGATCTGTATATTATGCAGACATTGTAGACCAGAGATAATTTTGCAAAAAATAAAAATAAAATTACAGTTTTCTAGCTTTCCCTAAAAAAGGACCAGATGGGATCCAGATTATACAGATTTCTTGATGAAAGAAGGGTGTTTAAGCAGAGGTTTACTGCACATGAAACTTGAAATTAAGACTTGTAAACTATTACTGTGAATCATTCTTTAAGCAGATGGATGAATTATTGATTTAGATTTAACATTTAAAATATAGGTCTAAATATACTTATAGGACAATTTTTTTGTTTGTTTCAGGCAGAAGAAGGAAGCTTATGGAAATATGGAAGGATTCGCACTCAGAGCCATACTCAAAGGAAGAGTACTTGTTCAAATGATACATGTATAGCGTGTCGGTCATTTCCACATAATGAGGTACATTCTTCCTTTTATTTTTCACATAAAGGTTTCAATTTACATCTATTTAAATCTCATTCTCTTTAAGGAATCCTCCTTCAGGTGGTAAATGCATTTAAAATCTTTTTAATTTTTCAAACACAGACTCCTCAACTCTAGCAAGTGTTTAAGCCCCTTGCAACACATGATAATTTGATTGAGATGCCTTCATAATATTGTAATGTTAATAAAAATTGGATAGGTAGTATATAAACAATGCAGTTATATAGGTCAGCATGAATATAGGTACTGCACTGTATACTGTACTGTGCAAATAGGCTGTGGGAGTATTTTGTACAATGGTAAACAGGAAGAAAATTTGACCAAGGCTGGCCGACAAAGCTGTCTGCTGCTTATTTCCAGAAGGATCCTTCAACAATTTTTAAGCAGTAACAATAAGAAATAGCTGTGACATGCTTCCACACACAATACGGAATTTGTGGGTAGGATAAGGGATGCCTCTACATATAAAATATAAACATGTGGGAAAGTACAGTACTGTACTGTACTGTACAGAAAGAAAGCAGGAAAACACAAAAGGACTCAAGTAAGGGAAACATAAAAAGATATTATGGAAATAGTTATCACAAAATGTCTTATGTCAAGGTTAAGAGTGTTCAGTGGAGCTTACTGTTGTATTGTGAATGTGGTGAAAAAAATTAAGAACCAGCAGCAAGGGTTGGGGGGTGGGGACCTTCTGTACCAAGGGCTCCCAACCATAGAGTTACCAAACAATTTCTTTGGGTTCATGAAACCATCAAATCTTCTCCACTTCTTTCAACAAAATTCATTCTGACAATTTAATTCTCAGACTACAAAAATAAATAAATAAATCATAACTATATGTACAAGTTTCCCACTAAATGCATTCATGGAAGACTATACACCTGACACCACATTTGATAGGGAATTCCAACAGTTGCTGACAGAACAGCTACAAACTCCAAAGATAAATCATCATGCTGTTATTTTCTAGATGTACCCCAGACACTGTTGAGCTGGTGGTGGTGTGATAGTTACAGTATGGAACTTTTGATTTGCCAGTTTGAGTTTTAACCCACAGATATTTTTTTTAGGGAGTGACCTGATAAATTTAAATTGTAAAACCCTGCTGAATAAGTTAGAATTTTGAGGATGGCATAACTTATGCCAGATTTGATCAAGATTTAGTCATTATGTTTATACTGTAAAGACAAAGTTAAGATATCAGAACAGATGAAGTAGCTGGAGCTACATCCAGGAAGTAGACAACTCCTGGATGACAAATGTTTTATAATTATTTTATAATGAATTGTACTGCTTGAATGTCGATGTTATACTAAATTGCATCATTAGATTAAATAAAGATAATGTTACCAAGTTGATTAGAGATACAATACAGTACTGTACTCTACTGGTGTATTATTGAACATAAAGTGAGACGTGCTGTTAGTTGATGTAATTATGACCGTATGTTTAGGTTATGAAACGACCTTGCAAAACTATAATAACTGCATTTTTCACCTACAGCCTGGATACATAAGCAATGATGATTCAGCAAGAGTTAGTTACATCAGTTCACAGTATCCACTACAGTCAGAATTGTATGTTCTTGTGCGTCAGGCATGCATAAGGTCACTTAGCTGTGAGGTAAGACAAATTGTATTGGTGGTGTGTCTTGCTGATCATCTTACTGATCAATAAGACTTATGCAATCTGTATGGCTATCATATGTCAACATCCTTAATTGCATACAAATCATGTGGAAAAATGAATTGTTTAGATATTATTAACATACTGTACAGTATTGTGAAAAGTAATCAACAGTCTCCTTTTAAGGAAAAGTAAGATACACAACCAGATAAAACAATTCAGTAATTAGACCGGTTATTTGAGATAAGATATTCTAATGTGATTATAGGTGTGTCCTGGGCGAGAAGGACCTATTTACTTTGGTGATGAAGCCCGTGGCCATGTACTGTCTCATACCTTCTTCCTCCGAGATGTTCAAGCTAGAGGATTCCAAAGATGGTGAGTCAGGATGTGTCTGTTGCAGAGTTATAGGATACTGTATCTGTCAATATTAAGATACTACAGTACATACAGTACAGTACAAGTTTTATAAACGGATTTATTTAACCAAAAATTTCTTGTATCCAAAATTTTCAACATCTCTTTTGCAATTACAGTACTGTACTGTAATATTCCTGACAGCTGGAACAATTGGTGCAGAATGATTCCATGTTCGAGAGATTTCTGGGTATTGAGACAAATCCTTATCTCCGAAGAGAAGTTACACATTTATGGAATTTTTCCGAGCATTGGTGTATGTTTCCAGGTCTAAACTACGTGTGTGGCATAAATCAATGTTGCTAGGGAGGCTTAACTGCAGTCAGACACAGAGCTGTATTCATTTTGCAAACACTATTGTACAGGTACAGTATGGTAAATAAATATATACTACCATTTACACTACACAGCATTGTATTCACCAGCAGATGTTGGGAGGCCAAATGGTGATACCTGTATAATGAAACTTGTGAGACTTTTCAGAAAAACTTAAAGTATTTAACATCTTACAGGTACAGCATCTTAGTACTTATGAAGGACAAGATGCTATTACTCAACTCATGGCCATTCATAGTGCGACATCTTCGACAAACCATCACCAAACTTCAAGAGAATGCCTGTAAGGTAGGCAGACAGTTATTTTATAGAAGCAAAGTTTTTGAATATTGTGATGTGTATATTTTAGTTCTTTGGATCTTTATTCCTCATTGTATATTTTAATAATTGTGGAGGTTATTTTAAATGTATGTACAGGTATCCCTTGCTTAATGATTGGGTTAGATTCCTGGAAAACTATTTGTTAGGTGACAAGAAAATCCCAATACAGTATTTTATCCCCAAAATATGAAATTGGTTAACAAATAACAAAAAGACCTAAATAACTAACAAAATAGTACCCATCTACTGTAATTTACTCCCTAACACATTAAAAACATTAAAAGAAAACTATCTAATGATAATCTGCAGTTAAAACCATTAAGGGAAAGGAAAGTTTAATAGTATCACCATTTGCATATATGCTGGCAGTTTGGCCTCAAGCCTCACCATAGCATTGCAACCCAGCTGGTATGCTGCCTCTGCCGACCCTTAGCAACAAGGCTCCCACACACTGCTCCCCCTCCCGCTCAACTCTCGCACACATAGAAATGTTTATTCCCTTTATGTTTTTTACCTTATGATAGTTATATACTTTTTTGCACATTATGTAGAGAGAGTTAAGTTTACGTATCCAAAATTATGAATTGAAAAATAATCATAACTTAGCTCACACCTCAGTCTGGTAGGGAGACGGCTAGATGGATGTTGCCGCCCCAGCTGACTCCCGGGGGCGTGCTATTTGAATTTTTGCTTGGACCAAAATTCATATAAGCAATGGTAGCTTCCGTTAAATAAGAAAGAGGTGTTAAATTAGAAAATTCGTAAAGTAAATTTTCATACAGTATCTCGAACGTTCGTAAAGCGAGGGGTACCTATACTGTATAAATGACAGTTGTATATTTTGCAGGTATGTGAGAATGAGGAATCAAAAGTAAGCCACAGAGCATTGAGGTCTGCAGCGTCTATGATGGATAATGTTCGTAAACAACGTGGTGAGTGTTGTGTTGTGTTGATGTTTGTGTACGCTTTTAGACACTGTACAGGGTATAAGAATTGAATGTTTACTTTTGTCAGCAAGCGTGCTCATGGTATGCATAACTTTTAGTCTGCAAAAGAGATAATTTAAAAGAAAAAATTAGGTACGTACTGTATTTATTGTTACTTTTTATTTATTTCTCATTCTCTCTCTCATAAATGTTTTTAATTTATTTGGTAATAATACAACTACATACTGGTATGCATATTGCTAGCACCTGCATAAATCTGCTGAGTGATTTACATAAAATGTTTGACTTAAGGTGTATATTATCAGTGCTGTACTGATTGCCTTTACTTGTAAGCCAGCTAAGATAAAGTTTTATTTTTATGCATCATTTCTCTCAATGCCTGGCAACATTAAGCAGAAGAGGCACACCAGACTCATACTGTGTGATCCAAAACAAATTAAGTTTTCATTTATGTTTGTTCTACTTCATACTGTATCTTATTGACAAAGTTTCTATTTCCAGTCTTTCCTCCATATTCACTTGTAATGATGTACAGTAAAAAGATGACCTCATCTTTAACAATGGAGTCGTGCACCTCTGATCTGTCTCCTTTTTGTACCATCAATATCACTTTGGATTAGAGTAACCCTCTGTAAGAAAGGGTTGTCACACTGCTAAACTTTGGGAATTTGGTTTCAAGACTGTTTCAACAAGATTATTTCCTCATGTAGATACTGTACTGTTTCTTTCAGTGGCTGGTCAACCAAGGTCTTTAGCCGAGTTAGTTGGAGAGGGAGAAGTATGGCAGCACATACATTCATCGTTTACATGGATTCTGAAGTCAGGTGGACTAAGGCTTCAGGAAAGACTTGTTGAAGGTCCTCCAGTTAATATCTATGTAGCAGATGGTTCAACATTTAGCAGTGGTGAGTTTGTAAGTAAGATTCACTCCATATGGATAAGATAGATACTCGTTACCATTGGTTACATTTGTTAGGTTTACAACACTTGGCAGTGTTGTACGTCATTCCACTAACTATGCTAAATTTAGCTAACCTTGACACAAAATTTGCTGCATGTATAAGAGTTCCTTATACAGTACAGTGGTCCCTCGGTTAATGAACACAATTCGTTCCAGAAGGTCGTTCGTAAACCCAAAATTTCGTTAACCGAATCCATTGTTTCAATGGGATATTGGGTAATTGGTTCCAGCTCACCGAAAAGTACATACAAAGTAAAAAAAAATGCAGTAAAGTATACTTACTTTGAGGTGTGTACGTAGAAGGTTCCTGGTTGAAGATGATGATGATGATGGGAATTAGAAGTGGGGGTGGAGGAGAAGGGAGAAGAGAAGGAAGTGGGGATGGAGGAGAAATCACCTTTCAGTGGACCCATGCTTGATGCCGTCATTTCACCAATAAAATTTGAAGTTAACTAGGTGTAATTCAAGATTATTTTCTTTAAATCAACAATGCACTGCGCTATATATTATCAATATGTTAACTAAAATTCAGAATGACCAATAATTTCAATGAAAAATGCAAAAATATTCAAGACACCAACAAAATAGATGCTCACTCCACTGTTTTCAAAGCCCAACTGACTCCTTGTGGCTGACTTACGCATCTGATGGGCGCACAAAAAACTAGTTCCCTGTACTGCATATATTATCAATATGTTAAATAAATGTTAAAATGACTAATGATTTTAATATAAAACATGCAAAAATATTAAAGAGCACAACTTGATTGATATTTACTCCATTGGAAACGAATGTAAACATAGAACAGATTACTGAATTGGCAGACTAGCCCATCAGCTGATCAGCTGATGCTCACAACTAAACGTGATGTTCGTAAGGATTTCGTTAATCAAATTTTTGTTCGTTAACCGAATTGAAGATTCTTATGGATGGTAATTCGTTAACCGCAATTTCGTCGACCGAACTGTTCGTTAGCCGAGGGACCACTGTGTATTAAGTATTCTTTCTCTAGTAACTTGTTTATGTACAGATGGGCAAGATAAGGGTCTGGCTTATTGAAGTTTATTTTTAAGATAAGTACTGTACAGTATTTATATTATACAATATTTATTACACGCTGTATATCCTTCAGGTCTAAGTGTACGGCAGTTATACAACATATTCGGGGGCACCATCTTTCATCGCATGGTGCATCATTTGTTGATCGGTCACCAAGTCATCATTAGAGGATTATCAACAAATGTAATATCATCCATTGTTCAGTCATTACAGGTAGGGTTTACATTAATCTCATGTAATGGCTCATTATGTTTAAGTTCTAGAGTGTGGTGGCTGAATGGATACCGCACTTGCCTCCCGTCTTCAGGGTTGCTAATTTGATCCAGGGACACTCCTAGTTCACCCAGCTGTAAATGGGTACTTGACTACAGTATATAGTTGGAAAAATGAAGGGTGGTCAAGTGCAGTGCCACTCATACTGCCTCCATCCATACCAAAGATTTAGTATATTGTGTAGAGTTCGGATGTCAGAGTCACATTTGAAATATATTTTTACAGAAGATATTAATATGACAGACCAACTCTGTTACATATTTACCTCAGCTTGTTTGTCAATATGAGCTAAGCAAGTTATCTAGACTTTTGATGACTCGGATCAGAACTGTTGGATGTATATCACACAGCCATTCCTCGGTGACTGACTATCTATCTTTGCTACACCACTTATCAGCTGTCACTGGTACAGTACTTATGACTTGTGAGATTTCAGTAACAAATATGGCTTTCCTTACTGAGAAAATGTATATATTTTTTGTGTGAGGTGATTAGTTTTAAGTTATGCAGAAGTAATCTTTGGCTTACTTGGCTGCAAAAAAAAAAGGTGTAATAGTCTACCAAACTTTACATTTAAATTTAAGCACTACCCCAGTACCACCACTTAGAAATCCTGAGCAGTTGAGAGAGAGAGAGAGAGAGAGAGAGTCTGTGTATGAACGAATATGGTAGATAGTTGAAGATTTAGTTGAATGTAGAGAGATAACATACAATACATATGAAAAGAAATATTAATCCTTTTTTATTTCTTTTCAGCTGTTGCTTCCAAAACACTGCTATAAAGCAATGCGATTTTCACCCCATTATGTGGATAGTGCATCTTGTAACATTTTGGGCCTTCACTCACTGGTGAAAATACCCCATGTTATCATAGGAAATGGCAACTTTTGCCTTATTGATGTGATCTCTAAATGTGAAAATAACGATATTCATGAAAAGAGTTATACAAATATTTTGAACAGAACTTCATCAATCGTAAAAGTTAAAGCCAGTAAGGAAGAAGGGTCAGAGAAAGTGGGAAAAGATGAACAAAGAAACCCAGCATCATCAGAACCAAAAGATATTAATGAAAGCATCAAGAACTTAACATTCAAGGTAAAATGTCAGGCCTTTGTATTGTATTTCTGTTTTACTTCCCAACAATGCAATAATCAAACTACAGCTCATTCAATCTAGTGATGTGTACATTACCATTGCTATATAGTTTAGTTGACTACACAAGTGCTGCCTTTGGGAGTGAAGGACAGGAACACTGACCAGATCTGAAATATGACACCAACCATAAAAAAGTCGCATTATCATTTCAAATCAAGTTATCCTAGTTTTTAGATAAGATTTAGTTTGTCTGTGCTCATTTAGTTTAGCCTTGTTTATGCCCAGTTTAGTTTATCAACTTTTATGCCCTTTTAGTTTATCTTTGTTTATGCAGTTTTTAGTTTATCATTTATGCACTTTTAGTTTATTCTCATTTACAGTACAGTATACCCTTTTAGTTTATCACCATTTACAGTACAGTATACCCTTTTAGTTTATCACCATTTACAGTACAGTATACCCTTTTAGTTTATCACCATTTACAGTACAGTATACCCTTTTAGTTTATCACCATTTACAGTACAGTATACCCTTTTAGTTTATCACCATTTACAGTACAGTATACCCTTTTAGTTTATCACCATTTACAGTACAGTATACCCTTTTAGTTTATCATTTACAGTACAGTATACCCTTTTAGTTTATCATCATTTACAGTACAGTATACCCTTTTAGTTTATCATCATTTACAGTACAGTATACCCTTTTAGTTTATCACCATTTACAGTACAGTATACCCTTTTAGTTTATCACCATTTACAGTACAGTATACCCTTTTAGTTTATCACCATTTACAGTACAGTATACCCTTTTAGTTTATTGCCATTTACAGTACAGTATACCCTTTTAGTTTATTGCCATTTTTGCCCCTTTTTGTATATCCTCATTTATGCCCATTTAGTTTATCCCCTTAGCAGAAATTTAATGTAATTTTCTCGATATCTTCTCTGTACTGCATATTAGCTTCAAAATTCTCTAATGTAACTTTATACAATATGTATGTTCTTTTAGATCACAGGAGAAGGGGCCTTGCCTGCCCGACCTCCGCAAGTTCTAAGTCGTATTGAGTCAGCAGTTGGCAATTCTACTTTAACACAATCAACTTTGATGGTTTACATTTCAACAATTATATATGAATGGATCAATAAGGTAAGACTCATCAAAAAGTAATCATAAAATTCTATAAAAATTACATGAAAAAAAGAAAAGGGGAGAAGAAATTATTTGGAGTGAAAATTATAGAAGAGTTGTAGGTCAGAGTGATTTTGTTGATAATTTGTTGTTGATTATGGTCATGTGAAGCAGCTTTGATGAGCAGAAGTAGAAAGGTTGAAATACATGTTGTGTTATTTTTATCGGTCACTTGATAACATACAGTGTAAATAAGCTGAAGTGTGACTTTGCACATTACATAATTATTATACTGAATCTGCACTGTAATAGCTCAATCATGGCTTTTTCATGGAGGACATTTAATTTTTCAGTCAAGCCATAGCTGGACACATTACAAGTGACAGCAGAAGATCACAGGTGCCAAGTAGAGTAAGAAAGTTATAATACATTCTGGATCACAAATAGAAGTAGTAATAGTTCAAAAGAAAATGGGAAATATTGTGTTGTTGAACCAAATCCAATTTCCCATTCAGTTGTTAAGAATTTCTTACGTAATCATGAAGGGTACACGAAGGTAACATCATGCTCCAGCCAGTTCCCACTATAGAGTACAGTATATAGCTAATTCTATTTCTTTTAACACTTCAAATATTTATTCAGAAATATATTATATAGAATTAGCTGGAATAAATGAAAAAACTTTGTTAGGAAAGTGAGTCAAGGTATAGGTATTTTAAATGTATAACTAGAAATTTTTATTCAATATAATAGGAAAGTAATAATTGCATCAGCCCTTTATTATGTGTTTTAAATCTAAATGTACCACTGTTCTATAGCCTTTAGAGTTTTGGAAGGTTTTATATAATTTACATCTTTTTCATCAGGTCAAGGTGTGGATTCATGTACAAAATCGCATAAAAACGTGTCATAGCTCCTGTGAGAGAATGCCGTCACCCATAACCCACTCTCAGCCTGTTTACCGGAGTCCACCAGTGGCCATATTACGAAGTTCAACCAATCATCTCTCAAGATCTCCTGGAGTGCCAAGTCTCAGAGGTTCATCTCCTGGAGGACTGAGTATGAATCCTCAAGATGCCGCTCCACAAGATGAACGCTACCAGTTATTAGCTGCTTTGGGGTCAACAGAGTGGGATGTTCCTTTATTGGAATTCTGGGCAAAGAATTTTAATAAATATTATGGGCAAGAAATAAGTTAAATTGCTGATCATTCATTAGGAAAAATGTTCATGAAAATGTTAAAAGTGCCTTTTACAATAATTTATTATTTTTTCAATATAATGAATAATTTGTTATAATTGTTTGCTGTTTTATTCATTACTTACTTTTATCCTCTTCGCCAATGAATGGCTTGTTCGCCGCTTTGGCGGTCGGTCACGTCTCTGTTTCGCACTGTTGGCAAGTACTGGGCATGCACTGGCACCTGAATATATCTGAACCTGCTCCAGTGTTGGTCAAGTCTGGTCTTGAAAAAGCTAACGCTTGATGCTGCCACAACACTATCTGACAGCAGTTTCTTCCAGGAGTTCACAACTCCCACTCCGAAAAAGTTTGCCCTCACAGTTTTCTGGACTTGTGGCTTCTTCAACCATGAGCTGTGACCCCTTGTGGGGCGGGTGTCCTCCAGCTCCAGGTATGGACACTCGACTGAGTAGTGCCCTCTGAGATGTATATATACCTCAATTAGGTCACCCCTTGCCCGTTTGTAGTACTGTCTAAGCTAAGCAGTTACAGGCACTGTAATCTCTCTGGAAACTTAGGTGCTGAAATGCAGGCACCAATCTGGTGGCCCTCCTTTGGACATTTTAGATCAACTGATAGTCTTTATCATATCTCGTGGACCAGACGGGATGACAATACTCCAGGCAGGGAAGCAACTCTCACTTGAAGACCATTATGAGGAACGGACAGTCTAGATATCCGAACGACCTTCTTGTTAGACCTATTAGTTTAGTTGCTTGATTCACCTTCTCACAATGGCCCAAGAATTTCAGTTCATTGTCAACACACCCAGGTCCTTTTCGCATTCCGTCTCTATTAATACAGTTTCTTCATCCCATTGGGACATGATATGCCTCCGTACTTTTGGTATGACCCAGATGCATCCTCTTACACTTCGTGACATTAAATCTTAGCAGCCATTTCTTTGACCACTTTTGAAGCTCGCAGAGATCTTTCTGCGGCTCTTCACAGTTTGGTTGTTAATTTCCCTGAATAACTTGGTATTGTCCACAAACATTTGTATAGAGGAGTGTATAGCTTCTGGCATGTCATTTATGAAACAAACAACAGAGGGCCTGATATACTCCTCTGTGGTGCCCCGCTTTGACATTTTCCCGAATCCTGTACCCTTCCAGGTTAATTCTTTGCCTTTCATTGGGTATGCTGTTGAAAGCCTTGGGAAAATCTAGGTATATGTACAGGTATATTGTCGATATTGCTGCCCCTGCACCTCTGCAAGTGTGTATAGTAATAAAAAGTTTTGTGGTTTGGTACTGCACTGTACTCATTTCATGAAAAAAATAAGTTCAAATTTGTACTGGGGTTTAACTTGGCCAAGTCCTGTAAATGAGGGTGAGGTGGCTGAGTTGAAAGAGTGCTGGCCTTCTCTCCTACGGGTTGCTGGTTAATGCCCAAGGTACCTTTAATTCACCCAGCTATAAATAAGCACCTAACTACTGTTGGGGAAGTGAAGGTGGTAGAATGCTTTGCTGTCCACAATGTCTATTTGTATACTGCAGGTTTAGCATTTAGTGTGCAGTGTCGGTGCTACCTCTATGGGACCCATTTTTCATGTACAGTACAGGGTATCTCAATAAAGTACCTGCCTGAATGGGTCTAATGACTTCCGAAATGCCAACCCGGCAAGGTTGGTATGCGTGGCTCTATGGCTTACTGATCATAATACATTTGGTAACTGAACATATTAATTATGTAGAGATATATACACTGCAGGTCACCTGAAGAATCGTTACCTCAGCTATATCACCTAAAGTTTAACTACCCTAACTCTATGGGGTGGGGGGGTGTGAGATTAGGTTAGGGTGGTTAATCTTTAGGTGCAATAGGCTGGGATGGAGATTCTAAAGGTGATCTATTTTTGTCTTGAATCTGTAGATTCGAAAAACCAAAGAGGTGGCGAAAAGGATGTTGTTAAGTACATTACAGTACAGGGTTACAGTAGTGGTGCACCAGTAGCGCTCTTGTCTCATTATTGCATTATCTCGTGTTACCATGGAAGGTAACAGGTATTATCCGGTGCTCCAGTCTCCTGTAAAGCTGATGATTAGTAAAAATGATGAAAAAAATGAAACAGTGGTCTTGGCCAAAAATAAACACTATAGGAGTAGACTAATGATCAAGGAAAGTATATACAGGTACTTTCCTTGGTAATGATGGACCCACACTGGACCTTGGTTTGTACTAAATTAAGTCAAAAATGTATTTGAAACTTGACCCATGCAATTTCGTTAAACTTAAAAGTTCAGTCCTTTAAATTTCCACCTGAAAAAAATAGTTGGACTTACTAACGTGAGACTTAAACAAACATAATATTTTATACCGACGTAAACAATCACATGAGAAACTATCATCCTATAAATTGTTTTACTCATATTTGGTAATGCTTAGTACATTTTTTGAGAGGATACGATATAAAAAAAATAAACACAAATACTAAATTCCCTTACTTTATTAGAGCAGTAAAATTGTGGCGTAATATTAAAATTTATATCGCACATCACTGTCTTATCTTATAGGGTATCGCCGAGCAAGATGAGTGTTTCAGGTAAACTCGCAGGAAAAATTGCAATTATTACTGGTAAGAAACTTTATTGGATATTTGTAAGTTGTCCTGAAGGAACAGTAGTCATTATTATAAACAGCTTTGAAGATGAGTTTATATGTTAGTGAAGAGGTAACTGTTTTTAGATGAATTTACCTACCATATTTACTTAATGGCCACCCACTAGAGTTGGCCATGCAGTGGTTTGTGTAGGATTCCTCCATTGTTCTTGATAATATTGTCAAGGACTATTTTGAAGCCCATTACTGTTGTTGATTCCACAGCTTGGTTTGATAGACCATTCCATAGATCTACCACCACCACTTTTTGGGCTGGTAGACCATTCCATAGGTCTACCAGCCTATGTGAAAAAGTATTTCCTTATATTCGTTCTGCATAACAACTTGGCGAGCTCAAAGTAATGTTTTTTGGTGTTGGTGGTGAGTGTCATTACAAAGAAATGTCCCGGGCTCATGCTTTCCATCTCTTTCAGGATTTTGAATGTTTGGTAATGGTGGATCAGAAAGCTATCACCATAAGGAGTTGTTTGATTTCATTAATTTTTTGCACATATATTCTTTTGATGAGAATAAGTAATAAAACAATGTGACAATGCACAGAACTTAATACTTAGAACCTAATCTAACCAACCTAACCAAAGAAATCCACCTAACCTTACTTAACTTCCTAGCTGGGGGCTCTGCCAGTATATTAGGCAGAAAGAACATAATTTGATATCTTGTACCAATGGAAGCAACTATTTAGAAGCAGCATGGTGTAATTTTACGTTATTTGTGGCCATGGTAAGGACACCATTGAAAAATAACATGGTTTTCCTTTCTAGGTGCATCTTCTGGAATAGGTGCTGCAACTGCCTTATTGTTTTCACGGTGTGGAGCGAGTCTGGCTTTGACAGGTCGCAATATTGAGAATCTTCAGACTGTTGCTGAAAAGTGCAGTGCTGGTGATACTACAAACAAGCCTCTCACCATACAGGGTAATGTCTATGATTTTTAGTGAAAATAATTAATACTGTATTATATTTTGTGTGTACTGTACTATGAATTTTCATTGTACATTATTAATTGTACTGTACTGTTTATATGCTATATTAAAAAGGTGGCTATGTATGTATTGCCAAAATGCATATACACTGTACTGTACTGTACAGTACAATATTGTACAGTAGAACTTCATTACTAAACCTCTTATAGTTCTCTGCTCTTACCCAGTTTATGTACACCCTGTACCTTGTCAGAACATATTTCACCAACATGTATATTTCTTCACCCATTTACAGTAAATGTGACACCACAATTATCATTTTGTCTTTCCCAATGTTTTTTTCTTCTAAAAATACTATACTGTTTCTTCTGTTTAGCTGCCATGACACACAAATGAATACCTCAGAATTGTGGTGCTTATAAGTCAAAGAATGCATTATCTGCATTCCATTCACACCACTTACCTCCATTATTACAATCACCTCTCCCTTCAAACTGGCCTCTACATTTGTGATGCTTCATATAAAAAGAATTGATAAATATGAAGCTGTGAGAGAATAAATAAACAGTATTCATGTGGATGGTTTTCATAAACTATAAATTTAAGAGAAGTTCGGCAACAGACTATCTACAATAGTTTTTTAGCTACCTTGAATACAGAATTTTAATAGTAAAGACCATATGATGTAATTTGCTAAAGGAATACTGGTACTGTACGGTCTATTGAATAAAGCTTGTTATTTTCTCATTGGCAGCTGACTTAAACAACGAAGCAGACACAAAGCGTATCATTGATGAGACTATCAAGAAATATGGACAATTGGACATTCTAGTAAATAATGCAGGCATCTTAGAAATGGGATCCATACAGAACACATCTTTGGACCAGTACGATCGTCTCATGAATACCAATGTTAGGTAAGAAGAGCATGGTATATACATCAACAGTGCTGTATATACTAAAGATATGATCAAGTATAATCCAAGTTACTTTCGAGTACAGAATTGTATGATCTGCAAGATCACTTATCACTGTTGTCACTAAATTATTATCATTAAAAATCATCATAGGGTTGACCTTAAGCATTGAAAACTAACGAAAATAATTCATTTGATGTCATTAAGCCTGAAAATCTAGGGATGATCAGTAATAGATGTCTGTCCTAAGAACATAACATAAGAATGGAGAAAACTGCAGCGGGCCTATTGGCCCATACTGGGCAGTCCCATTTACACCCAACCCCTATTGCTCATATATCCATCCAACCTATGTTTGAAGCTATCCAGCTAATTTGAGTTAATGATAGTATTTGGTAACTTGTTCCACTCGTCCACTACTCTATTTCCAAACCAATGTTTACCTATTTTGCACCTAAATCTAAATTTGTCTATTTTAAAACCATGCTGGCAACTTGCTCAGAACATTAGCAGCATACTTTCAATGGTTAAATAAATACTGCGGGCAGCACTTATTAGCTCCAAAATGATCAATCACGTCTTCAATGGAGGTTTTCTTTCTATCTTATACCTTCTGGCAATGCACACTGAGCAAGCATAATCCAGACAAGTGTTCAGTTGACATTGTTGATCAAAGTCAGTTTTGATAAGTGGTCACGGCTCCATCATGACCTAACACCAGGTATGCACGGATCCTCTGTGATGTCATCATGACAGTCTTACCTAAGTCACCCAGCCAGGCCCAGGTACCAGATGTCGCTCTTGGCAATAACATCGTAATTCTCACACACAGAGTTATTTTCAAAAGTACCGACTTACCACAAGTGTCCGTTGTGGGAACATTAAAGAACTAAACGTTCACTGAAAAACTTGTAATATCATACACATAGTGTATTGTGCACCCCCTTGCACCCCCCTAGGGCTGCCCATGAAGAAGAGGGATGTTTTGGTTGGTGTACTTGTTTCACATTTTGAGTTTAGCTTCCTTGAATCCTTTCATTGTGACAAATAGAAATTTGTAATCTATATTCATGTGAAAGACCAAGCCAATTAACTGGTGATGACTAGCAGTAAGTGCAGATGATCTTTTCAACATACTACAGGGATACCTATATTTATCAGATGATCTTCTATTTAGCAGAGTGACTTATACAGTACCCTCCTCGTTATTTTATTCTAACATAGGTTTACAGGTAGATGAAGATAATTTTAGGAAATCCAGAAAACCTGTGCTTCTTTTTTGTGCATTCATCTTTGTTTTGTCTCAGTTGCTCCATTTTTTTATTAAATCAATACAGTACAGTATTTGAAACCTCTTTCCTATAATGCTTCTTCACTTATTGTACAGTGTTCATTCTTCATGCCTTCATTGAAGTCTGACTTTTAACAGATCCATCTACCACTTGACAATGCTGGCAACTCCCCATCTGATTGAATCACAGGGTAACATTGTCAACATCTCCAGTGTTAATGGAATTAGAGCTGTAAGTACATTTTACTACTGGGTATATGGTATCATCGATCCTTGACATGATAAAAAAAAAAATTAGTGAAGCCTTGTCAAAATTTATATGAAAAGTGCAGTCTATAGGCCGCATATTACAGTATATGTTAGAAGAGTTGGTCTTTTGTCAGATATGTTGGTAGTGCAACTGCCTTGGCCTGAACTTGTGAAATGTTAAATCTGTTATATATATTAATAAGATGGGTTGTACACAAGTATCCTACCTGGTTAATTGGGGTAACCTTATCACACTTGATGAATGTGGCTGCTCTGCACCATACAAATGTTGATACAGTATAATCAGTCGTAAATTTTGAGACAGCACTATATAAAGATAAGAAAATGTTCACTTTACTCTGTAAAATGCTCTTGGATCCTCTTCTGGACTACTGAATGCAAGCAGAGACTACAGTTACAAAAGAACATAACCTCATAGAAATAATGCAACACAAAATGCCTAGAGTTCCCCCCAAATAAGACTCAATTATCCAAGTAAGCTTATTGCTTTATACTGTAACAAGCAATTAATAAGACATGACTGATGAACTTAATACAGTATTATGTTCTAAGTCCTGAGCAGGTTGGAAAATGTAACCCAGGCCACTTCAAGATATCAAATACTACAGACACAAGACCCAATAGATTCAAGCATCACCATATCATAATGCACAATGGATATAAGGAAGGACTGTACTTCATTCAGAAAGTGGTAAAACCTAGGGAACAGTTTATCAGCGGTAGTTGGAATCTAAAATGGCCTTAGAAAAGGTTATATATCGTAGAACAATTCACTGTCTTAGTTTACCCTTTCATAGCCACTATCATTAGTTGTGGTGACTACTAGGTAAAAAAGGAAATCTCATAACATTGGACAAACCACTTGCCCGAATGGTTAGTAAGCTGGTAAGTGGTGAAATGATGATAAGAAATAAAGTAGTGGTGGGCCATTTTTTTGGGCAGTTACGGCTAAAAGTGTTGAGTTATGCCATTTTCTGTGGAGGAGTTCTGGTTGTGGCCAGTAGATGGCAGGAGTTACTATGGCACCACCAGCTGCTCTTTCAAGTCAACAGAAACATTGAATCCCGGGATTTTAATTGTTCTATGGCTTTTAGTGAAATGTATGACGATTCTGCAGCACCACAGAACATATGCAAGGTTATGATGGCCCCAAAATCATTATTCAAAATATGTTTGGATTATATAGGAAGGAATATAAACATGGTGGAATCCTTGGAACATTTCCCAGAGATTGTTGGTGAGCAGATATTGCAAATTTGCATTCAATATGGGTATATCTCTGAGAATAATGCCACTTCTGAGCATATTTTAAGCCTTTTCATAGGTGCTTATGGGCAAGAGTTCATGCAGGCCTTCCGATGTACGAGTCTACAACTTGTCAATGAATTTTGTGAGTGTTTAGTCATATTATGCCTCCCAATAGTTTATTTAGATCTCCAAGGTTGCCTCTTGGGTGATAATAATGACATTTTGAGAGCTATAGTGAATATGGAAAGCTTAAAAGTGCTCAATCTTGCAACTAATGAGTTGTCTGATGATGGGTTTCGTCTATTGTTGGCTCGCTTCAAGATGTACAAGAGAGGCTTTCAAGTGCTGGAATCACTTGATGTGTCTGAGAACATTGTCAGCATCAAGACACTCAAATCCTTGTTGAGTGTACCAAAGTTAAGGAACCTAAGGGTATCAACTGCATCTTCATTAGAAATGGAATATTCAAAGTTTGCACAGGAATGGACAACGTGCATTAAGTGTCGAGGCTTTGAAATACTTCCTCTGGAGAAGAAAGTGGCAAGCAACATAGAAACAAAGGGTTGGGGATCTTCAGTAGTTGGTGTATGGGAGACTAAAGTGGCAGAATGGGAAAAAGCAAGAAAAGCAAAAGTAGCTAAGAGATGCCAGAGTTTCTATGCCAACAGCTTAAGAAAAGCAGAACTGGCTTCATGTAAACCTCATACCGGATGTAAAATATTTAAGACATACACTTACATAAAGAAAGGTGAAGATGTGCTATCACCAGCTAGATACACAAATGGTCATTCATCATTCTCATTAAGTTTAAGGAAGAATCTCGGTCATACTTTGGGTGAAGGAAATGAGAAAAAGCGTGGACTAGAGAAGGACACATGCCAGCAAGAAGTGTCATCAAGGGCAAAGAAGCAGATGTTGGTAGAGGAGGATATAGAACTCCTCAGGATGTATCTTTAAATGTAAGGATGGACAAAATTGATCTTTTTAAATTCTGATTTTCACAAAAAGTTTTAAGCAGTAGATCAGATAACTTTGTCTAGGAAAGTGGCCTTCTTAAAGCATTCAACAAAATTTCTTAGCCAAATAATATAAGTATATTAGAGTTCATTTTTGTTGGCAGAAGAATAAATGTACATTGACTGAAATTATTGACTCATATTAAACATGTTTTGGGAATATTGTATTGACATTGGACCATTGTAGACTATCCCAATGTATAAGACTGCATCATTAAGTCTTTTTATGAGAGGTAAAATAAGCCAAACCATCCTAACTTAATAGAGGAATAACTTATGATTGTTATTGGTAGGTTAGGTTAGCTTGATTCATGTCAACCTTGGTACAGAACAGTACTGTATAGTATATGATTATGTTTGTAGTCTCACAGATTGGCAGATATTGTACCGTACATACTATGTTAACAAGGGTCAGACATGGCTTTTCCCATGCCTATTTATAGTAATGTGATTTTCTGTTACTTGTGAGTTCAAACTAATATTTTCCTCACAGACATACTTTCTTAAATACATAAGGGCTATTTTGATAAGTTATTTTGTTTGTTTAATAAATTTTGAAGAGAAATGGTACTAAATTATATACTGTAATTCATTACTGTCAGTATGCACTTGGTGTAACCTTAGTGGAAGTCTCATCTTGTTAACAGAGAAAACTTCTCTTTTAGGTTTAGTTTTGTGTGTTCATATGATCTTCTAAATTAATTCATTTCAGACTCACCATAATTTTGACCTTGATCTCGCATAAAATTAGCATTGAAGGTATTAGTGAAGATCAGATTAGAAATATCTGAGAGAAAGTGACAGATCTAAACTAAACATTTACCAATTTGTTTGCTGTCTTACTTTATGATTTTTCATATTTTGTAGCAAAACATCTCTACTATTACATTAGTAAGAATGAAAGAATAGTGAGAACAATATGTGTTTTTGATTCTTGCTACCCAGCATTATACTGTACTGTAGTAGGAAAAGGTTTTGACAGATTGAAAAAAATATTATTAACATTGAAAAGAACTTTCCCCTTTCAGTTTCCTGGTGTTCTTGCATACAACCTCTCAAAAGCTGCAGTTGATCAATTTACACGTTGTGTTGCCTTAGGTAAGGATAATTTTACTTGTACCTTATTTGTAAAATTTTATTTGTGTATTATATACTGCAAGTATTTTATGTTAATTGCTAGAATTTTTGGAAATTTTATTATTTGGGTCACTACATTATTATGAGACACTGCATGGTTGCCTATGTTCTAATAATTAAAACAATACTGTACTTGCATTTAATTTTTCAGAACTTGCAGACAAGAAAGTACGAGTCAACTCTGTCAAGTGAGTACCAGCATTGTATAGTGTTATCACCCCCCAAAAATGTAACTTGAAGCATTTATTTTCTAACTTAGTTCTCTTAATAGGCAGCTCCTATTAATTTGCGTGCAATTTTGGAAGTCTAGGAGAATTGATTACTGTACCCAATTATTGGAATGTAGGGACTGATTGTACAATCCTCAATTCCATGCCATTCCAATTATTGCCCAGAAAAAGAGAGGTTGGCTGCAGAGGTTATGCTCAAAAGACAGGTGGTCTATTTAGTCAGCTGTGTTTCATATGCATTATGTACACATATCAGCAAGAAAGTAGGATTTCAGGATCAGACCTTCATTCCTAGCTTGATGCCCTTGCAAAGTGGAGTCTGTTAACAGGTAGCTAGAAAGTGGATGGATTTTCATATCCTCTTCCTGCTCCCTTTGATTTGTAGTTAGTCTGCTGGAAACTGAATCTAAATTGGCAGATTGGCCAGCCATTGCTGGCATGATGTGAGCACTGGCTTGGTATATGTGGCTGACTTTACAGTCTTCATATCTCTAGGTGTGTAGCTGTTGTAACCATAGTCAATTTTTAAGACAATCATTGTGATGAGAAGGGATAAGCAATCATAAGGTCTGCCCCAAGTTGCTAATTTTGGCAAGCATATGAAGAAAACCATCTGGCTACATACTTAGCAAGAAAATAGGACTTCAGAATCAGTTGTTCATGGAAATGTTAGGTACAGTATAGTATTACAGGAACCATCTTTTATGGAGCAATATTATACCTGTACATGTGTATTACTGAGTGATTTTATTATTAGGTTGCTGGATGGATGTACAGATGTAGAAATGAAGTACAGCATATTAAAAGATTTTAGGTTAGGCAGTTGGCTCTTTTTTTAATCCAGCTGAAGGCTTTTACATATTTCCATATCTTGAAGAAAATGCTGTACTCGAATACTGTAGCAATAAACAGTGACAATACTGCACAGTACTGTTCTTATAAAGATATTTTATTGAACATCATTAAATATGGAAGAAATTGTTTTGAAATACAAAGGATAAAAAAAAAAATTAGTATATGAATTGTGTGTGATAAAAATGTACAGTATACAGTTGTTGTAATTTTTTTCTGATAGTTATGTTAAACTATTTAATGTGAAGGATAAACTTTATAGATACTTGGAGTCATTCTGTTGAAGGGGAAATTCATAACAGGAAGAGTGAGTGGGTGGCACAAAAAAAAAATTGCTAACTAAATTACTGTCCAAGTATTTGTTAAACAAAAATGGACTTGCAATCATCACAGTTTTCTGTTTTTTTTTTTTCAGCCCAGGTGTTGTAAAAACAGAACTCCAGAAACGAGGTGGTCTTGGGCCAGAGGCTTATGCTGCAGTAAGTTTTTGTTATTGAAAATAAATTACACAGTATGCCTGGATAATTCGCAGATTTTTATTTTTATTTTGCAGTCCTCTATTATTCGCTGATGACACCCTGGATATACCCACGAATGTCTGCTGGTAGTTTTAAAGTTGTCATCATTTCATTTTCTTGGCTGGGACAGTAATTTCCTTTACCTGTATTGTATATACTGTATATATATATATATGTGTGTGTGTGTGTATACACACACACACACTCACATATACTGTACAATACTACAGGTAAAAATAATAATTGTCCTAAGGGCAAGCACATAAAAAAATATACATTTCTCTGTACACAATTAAAAATGTAACACCCCCCCCTAGCCATTTGGCGACTTGCAGCCATTTTGAGAACCTAAACCCCCCCACGAATTTGAAGGGCATGCTGTAGTAGTTGTTTTTTCTATTGTCTTTTTCATAGTCAATTTGGGGTTATACAGTAGTGAAAAATAGGTTATAGATATTGATGAACCGAGGAAAGTAATTTGTAGCTGTAGCTGAAAGATATACTGTATAGATATGATTGTGGCAAGGTAAGACATGTAAAGAGGCATAGAGGAGGGATTAAGATTAAAAGGGGATATGATGTTTATGGATTTAGAAAAGTAAATTATAGATTAAATAGAAAAGCTGTGTGGAAGTACAGTACAGTATTATAAAAGTGTGGAATAAAGTGGAAAATATTGAATCCTGTCCAGAGCTTTTATAAGGAAAGTGTTATTATTATTATTATTTTTTTTTTGTGGGGGCACGGGCAATTCCCGGTAGAGGTTCACATTGCTTAAAAATAAGACGAATGAGCAGGCTTTGTGTGAAATAAAACAAAGCCTAGGAATGCATTTGTTGTCCTTGTGGTGCCGTGGTAGCAACCCCTGTTCACACGCAGAGGTCCAGGGTTTGACTCTTAACTAGTTAGGTACTGTTTGTATAATAATAATAATGATAATAATAATAATAATGATAATAATAATAATAATAATAAACGGTTTATTAATAGAGTTGCAGCCGGTGGCTGAAAATATACAAACTTACATGTGATCAAGACATAATAAAATACTTTCAATACATTTAGATGTAATGGGCCCCTGTCTCATCAACAGAATATATTATGTAAATGGGTCAATACATCTGATATTATATTCAGATTCACCACCCTGTAACTTTCCACTGTCTATGAGGTGACATGTTCAATGCACGTGATAAGGTGTGCCCACGGGAAGCTGCGTCATACTATGCTGAGTAAAGGCATAAGTAGCCGGCACTCTGGCCACCTGAAGCGAGCAGTAGTTTGATATCCTTGACTCGAGGAAGACGTTATTTGAGAGCCGCAGTGGATGGCTCCGTCTTCCCTCGAGGGGGAACGACGTACCCATACCGTTCTCCCTCGATGGGTCACTACTCATGAGTCGCTCACATAAACTTATATCGTAAGGACGTGAGCTAACGTTTATAATACATAAACGCCGTCCCTTTCTCATTCACTCCTAGACAGTGAGACTTACGGTCGATCTACACTCACGAATTATATATACAACCTTTTATAATAAAACAAAGGAACTACTGTTTGGGTTTCGTTACTTAAAACCCAAATATAAATATATGTGAACGGCCTGGTTAATTGCACAATCAGCCGATCCATATAGGGCTGTACAGTAAATAAATCACCTTAGAACATTGCCCATATTCTTCTACAGATTCAGGAGAATTGATATTAATAAAAAAACGGACTTTTGCATCCATGTCGAGGTCGTCCTAATATCTGCCATGCCTGAATTATAATAATTTTATTGCAGTTCCTTGAACGCACAAAACAAACCCATGCTCTTGGTCGTCCTGGAGAGCCTGAAGAGGTGGCAGCAACGATTGCATTCCTGGCCTCAGATGATGCCTCCTTCATCACTGGTGCATCTGTCCCAGTTGATGGTGGCCGCCATGCTATGTGTCCACGATAACTTAGTGTGTTTACATTGTTGAAAGGGGGGAATAATTTTCATGATCTACTTAGTTCTTGTTTATCTCAGATAAAAATATATTGTTTAATACTTACTAACACAGTAATGAGCAAGAAAAGAAAAAGCTATCACTCCTCATATAGATGTGAGAAAAGTCCAGAAGTCCTGTATTCAGAATATTAAAAACAAAATTTCACACCTACATATCATAAGATTGGAAAAGGTCTACTTTTCTACATAATTGCCCAGCTTTTCAAACCACTTGGTCCAGCTGAGTCCACAAAGAGCAAATGACAGCACTTTGCTCTTCTTGAGTGCAAGTTGAAAGTGGTGTGGCCATGTGTACAGTGCAATTACTCTACAACTGAACAACCAAGTAGGAGTCTACTCTCAGTGAGTGCAGTACCACTGATGTCTAGCACATAATTGTGGAGAAAAAAATATATTTTTTACTTTCCTTGTATAGTATATAAATTTTATCATAAAAGAAAGGCAATAAAATTGGTGTAGTATACAGGGCAATGGCTGCTGATGTGAGAACTCCAAATTACAAGAAACTAAAGATGATTTAAAGAAGTTAATTACTGTATATGATTCTGTGCACTATTTTCAGAAGATGTTACCTTTTTATTGAGTTTATGAGGCATGTTGAAGAAGCAAAATATATAATTTAGATTTTATGAAGGAGTAGGTTATTGAATGATCTAATTAAGATTTTTTTAATGAAACAAATGATAGTTTTAAGTAGAAAAATTTACAATGAATAAAATAAAGCATGAAAAGTGTAAATACACTGTACACGAAGAAAAAATTCTTAGGATCAATAATTTTGAAAATGAAGAGACAACTTAATGGCTCATTTTGAGTATAGGTTTGATCTTTAGAGAATTTGGGAAAGTATTGAATGTTGATCCCCATTTCTTGCAAGTTTCTCACCCTAGAATATTACAAGATTTTTTTTAGACGAATTTGTACTGTAGTTGTTTACGTATATGGGAATAGAATTTATGTAATAGAAAAATTAAACATGTGTAAATAAAAGAATCACAATAAAATCAGAAATATCTTTTATTTAAATATATCCTCAAACAGAAGAAACTTTAATAAAGTGAAACTGTTCTTAATTCTTTTACATTTAATGACTTGAATAGTATAAGGTAGTTTCAAAGCAAATATTATTTGAGAAACACAAACATAAGATTCTTTGGGTGAGGGAGTAGGAAGCTGTTGACTGAGTTATCTTGGTTAACAATGGGAAGAGTAGAAGATCGCTGTTTTCTCCCAGTCATATTACAGTATAGTACTGTCCTGTACTGTATTTTCTTATATTTACTATTGTCAGCATGTTTTCAAACTGAAACTGACCTCCATTATTTCTGCATTACTAAATCTGTGGCCAATATTTAATGATTATATTTTATTTGTTTCTTTTTTTTCCATTCTACTTTCCTCGCTTGAGTTTTTCTTAAGCAATCCTTGGATCATGTTAGACATCTGATGTAATTCTAAAAATTCGATCAAGTGGATGTCTGCTCTTTTATTTGTTCATCTAATGTGAATCTGAAAAAAATCTTAGGCCTATGCAAAAAAACTTGTGTGTACATTTGGTAGAGTATTATACTTTTAGAATACTGTACTTGGAAAGTGCACAAACCATCCTGGTACAGTATTTTTAAGAGATATAAAACAGTGATTCCTTGCACACTGATGTCATCCAGTTGAGACAATTTCGTTTAGGTCAGGGATTCTTGGGTAGCTGTGTTAAATTATAGGAGTGAGGGGATGACGTGATGATTAGATACCCCAACTTATTTCATCTGATGTTACTTGGGGTGTTAGGTTAGCATTAGAATGTTTTATCATGTGAAATAAGCTGAAGTGCCTAATATTCACGTGATCCAAAGGTGATATACCTGTAGGAGGGTAGATCATCAGCATCACTCTTTTATGGCCATGTTTGCATACTTGCTTGGGTTAGCCATAATAACCTGATGTCATGATGTCCCAGTTGTTATCAAGCAAGTTTTATGGCTGGATGCCCTTCCTAATACCATCCCACTTTTACAGAGTGAACACTGGCCATTACAGTACAGTACAAGGGCTTCCACGTGCTCTTTTAGCTGGCAAAGCAAGGTCACAACTCCCTGAGGTAATCAAAGTCTTTCTGAGTGGGAGGTATAAGATGGAGGGGGATAGTGAGTAGGAAGTATGAGGTGTAGGATGGTAGTGAGTAAGAGGTTCTAAGTTTCACTCACTATTAATACTTTTTTCAAACTTCCGCACTAATGTTTCCAACTTTTCTTCTGAATTACCCAATAACAGTGTCATCTGCATATAGCAACTGACTCTCCTCCCAGTTGAATCTTATATCTAGTGAATCTGCATCCCATTTCATTATTCTTGTTTACACCTTTTTTAATAACTTATCCATGACAATGTTGAATAATCATAGCTGCATCTTACATCCATGATGTGGTTGCGCTTTCACTGGAAACCAATTTCCCTCTTCCTGATTCATTTTAACATGTTCCACCCGTCCTTAAAAATTAACAAACCTAATGTAATCTAACCCAATCAAAGCTAATCTTATTTAACCTAACCTAACCTATTCTAATTTTACATAACCTAGTCTAACCTAATTTTACCTACCTTACCTAACGTCTAATCTAACCTAACCAAACCAATATTCTAGGGTTCTTAATAATCCAGACATCCATTAATTCTAATAATTTTTTGGATAATAATCTGTAACGTGAAATTCTTTTGCAAAAATACTGAAATTCCATTTTGTGAACTTTTTGTTACTAAAATTTATATAGCTAAGGTCCTGATTTAACAACATGATAATTATTCTATACCTAGTTTATAATAATAATAACAATACTATTATTATAATTAATATTATTATTATCATCATTGCCACCAGCCGAATCTCGAGAATTTTATCTTAGCAATCAATATTTCAGACAGTAAGACACTTCTACGCCATTTCCGATCACTCAAGCGGCTAACGAGCTGATCAGTGGTGAAGAGGTCTACAAGTAAAATTATTATTATTATTATTATTATTATTATTACAGTATTATTATTATTATTATTATTATTATTATTATTATTATTATTATTATTATTATTATTATTATTATTATTATCCATTTAATTAAAGTGATACTCGGTTGATCTCTTTAATGCTACGGTAACACCTTTAAACTCATTCAAAGTCATTTAATTTCCGTATTTATAATCGTTCAAAGTCATCTCAGTCTCGCATTAAAACTCATTCATAAAACTGTTTATTTACGTCCATTTTCCTTGTTATGATAAAAGAAAATGGAACTTTTATATGGGTGGACTTTATTACTTTTTTTTTACGGTTGTAAGATATGTCAAATATTTTATTTTATTTTATTTTATTTTATTTTATTTTATTTTAGCTTGTCTTCTTCGCCACTTGGGAGGGTCGGTCACGTCCATCTTTGGCACTGTTCACATGTTTTATGATGTAATGGCTCTCTGTTAAGCACATTTTTCACCTCCTTTCCCCATCATTTCACCTGTAAGATCATCTATTCCTGGAGACGTACCAATTTTACTCTTGTTTACAGTTATTTCTTCTTTAAATTTAATGTTTTTCATTTTTCCACGCCCAAAACAGGATATGTTCTGCCTTTCTCTCATTCGTTACATTTAGAAGTTCTTTAAAATATTTTTCCCATATTCCCCCCCCCCCCTTTTTTAAACTGATATTTCCACTTAATCTTTTGATTTTATTCCTTGTTATCATCTTTCACTAATTCTTCTAATACCCCCATTACTCTCGTTTTACTTCCACCTTTCATCACTCTTTACTTGAAGCTGAACCTCGTATACCCATATTTCCTCCTTTCAGGATCTCCTCCCACCATTCTCCTTTCTTGCTTTTCGTTCCTATGTTCTTATGTTACCACACCTCAGCCGCACTGTTAAACACCCATTCGTCAAATCCTTATACTTCCGCCATATTCATGTGATGACTTTATCTCTGTCATTACTTTACATTATGTTGACAATAAATCCTCATGTGAATCTGTCAATATATCATCATTAAATTACAATCACTACTCCATATATGCACCAGCGTTAATAATAATCATACGGCAGCGCGGAAATGTCATTTGATTCTGTACGTCTCAAACTTTTTGACAAGTGACAAAAAATTTTAATAATTAAAATACAGATCAATATGTTTTCAAATAATGAAGTTGAAATATTGATATATAAGAGCTACTTGGCTCACAATTCTAAAAATAAAGTGGTATTCTAGAATGACAGAAAGGCGGGGGGGGGGGGTCTGGTATGGGGCCTCTGGCAATCTTGGGCAATGCTAACGACCCAAGATACTTGGTAAATTACCGTGTTGAGGGGCAAAGGTCACACAGGAAGTGCACACATAGGGCTATAAAAGCGTGTCTCCTATTGGCCGAGTTATCAGGTGTTGCAGGATTTCCACCAACCACAGGTTACGTTACAGGTGCATGCGCGAGTCGTGTGTTTATCGTGGGTGGCCGAGGGATCGTTCGCGACACCTCCGTCGTATCGTCCGTAACAGAGGTTAGTAACACCATGTTCGAGGCTGCAAGTGCAACCAGTCTTCATTAAACACCTAGAGGATACAATGCTCGTGTTACATTAACAAAGAAATAAGTAATTATGGAAGAATATATCGATGGAGTTGTGAGATCTGTGATGAGGCCGTCCGCCACAGTCCTGCTCACCTGGCATGCCAGCTGCCAGAGGTGCGGCTCATCTCCAGCGTGAAGGTCTTGCGAGCATCCCCTGGAAAATTGGGGCCGTGATGGTAGTGCATATCCGGAGTGACCACAGCACCTCCCTCCCCAGCACCAAGCAATATGTACAGTACAGTACAATCACAATGAATACAGTACTTTCATATTGTGTACAATAACAATGTTGCTTACAGTACCAGCATAATGTGCACAGTACTACCATAGTGTATACAGTACTACCATAATGTATGCAGTACTACCATAATGTATACAGTACTACCATAATGTATACAGTACTACCATAATGTATACAGTACTACCATAATGTATGCAGTACTACCATAATGTATACAGTACCAACAGAACGTGGGTAATGTGCTCAAAACCTTTATGATGTGAACAATACCTTCAAACCTTGTACTTTGTTGGCCCTTCATCTATATTTAAATATTCAAGAGAAGTGTAAATACAATCATTAGTTCCCTGAAGAGTAGGTAAGTATAGATAATTCTTAACCTTCTTGTTCATTAACAACAGCTTTCACGGCCTAATCAGCCTTTATTTATGATGATGGTTAAAAACATAGTTGTAGTAGTGGTAGTACAGTAGTAGTAGTAGTAGTAGTAGTTTAATCTAACATATTTATTGTAAACAAGAGAAAATCCGTTAATTTTTTTTTTACTTTTCGTTAAAAAAGATAAATCCATTTTGTAACTTTACCAGAAAAAGAGAAAATATTACTAAGCAATGAAACGTGAAAGAATAATAATCTGTGTGGATGTGAAGAAAGTTAGGAACTCTCCCGATACATTACAGAAGACCACTCTAAGCCTATCTTTAATTTCTCATCGTGGATCTTCTTTCTTCCTTCTCAATTAACCTCTTATTGTAAGATGATACTTTTTGTGGTTATTGTGGAACGGAGACGCAGGTGATACTCGTCCTAGTGTCGGGCTGGTGGGCAACTGGTACTCCCGTAGCGGCGACTGTTACCATATGAAAACTTAACCTTTGAAGTTTGGAGTTGTAAATTATTGTTCTTTGAAGATTGATTGTGAGATATCACCGCTATTTCATTACTCAAAGTTATGGGAGAAGTTTATCGGTGCTACTATAGCGTGCGGTCAACAAGATATCTTCAAAGCTAACCTAACTAAATATCCTGTATACTGTGCGCTATAGTAGCATCAATTTATCTTAAAAAAAATAAAACAAAGTGCTTATTACTGCAGTTTTACTCGAAGAAATAAAAACACTACAACTTAAGCTAGAGGATGTGCAATGTACACAGTGAGA